GGCAAACCACCTGAATAGGCTTTCATCGAAGAGGAGCCACAAATGACCAATAAACTTATGAAGAGATGCTTACCTACAGTGGTAATTAGGGAAATGCAAACTAAAACCACAATGAGATGCTATTTTATACCCACCTTACTGGTAAAAACTGAGTTAGCAAGACATAGATTAATTGGAATTTTCACTGATAGTGGGAATGCAAATGTATATACCTAGAGAAACTGTTGCTCTCATACATGTATGTACCACTACACAATACAAGAATGTTTATGGCAACATTGTTGGTAACAATAATAATAACAAAAGGAAAAAAATTGAAAACAACCACTCATCTATCAACAGTAGATTGGATATTTTGGGCCAGCCCGTGGGTGAGCGTGGTGCTGACAACACCAAGTCAAGCGTTAAGATCCCCTTACCGGTCATCTTTTAAAAAAAAACAAGCAACAACAACAAAAAAACCAGTAGATTGGATATTTAAATTGTGTTTTCAGACAATGGAATACAATATAATTTTAAAATTTAAAAAAGCCAAGGAAGACATAAACCATGATTTCATTCCTTTACAGTTCAAAAAAGAGGCAAAATGAAACTATATTTTTAGGGATATATTGCATATGTAGTAAAAAAAAAAAAAAAAGCTAAATATTGCATTCGTAGGAAAAACGTATCTATGAATTATTTTTAAAAAGAGAAAAGCAGAAGTGGTAACTAACGACTATAAAACTATGCTATCTACTCTAAGTGAATCATCGTGCTGTATATGCATGTATTGAAACAACACACTGTACCCCACAAATACATACAAGTGTATGTTAAAAAAAATTTTTTTTTTTTTAAAGATGACTGGTAAGAGGATCCTAACTCTTGACTTGGTGTTATCAGCACCACACTCTCCCAAGTGAGCCACGGGCTGGCCCAATAATAATTTTTTTAAAAAGAGAAAAAAAGCTAGACACAAAATGTAGAATAGTGATTACCTCAGGGCTGGGAGAGGCACACAGGGGCCTTCAATGGTTTTGTTACTGTTTTATTTCCAAAGCTTGGTGGTCAATTAACGTGTTTGGTTTTTATGTTATTCTCTTTAAAAAACTGTACATATACATTCCTCCACTCTTCTATTGTATTTTATAATTTAATTTTTAAAAATAATCAAGAAAGTATGTTAATTTGGGAGGATTTTATCTAAAATAGTTAAGCAAATATTTGACCTTCAGTAACCATCTTCACCCATCTGAAAAATTAATTTATCCAGAGCATCTCTTGCCCTGGAAATACCTGGTAATCCAGTTTTACTCTCTTTTTCTTCTTCTGCATCTCAGCTATGTTATACTACTGTGCCCATGACATTACCATGGCTATTCTAAAAGTCCACTTAGTTCAAGAAAACTGCAAGGCATTCTCCTTTTGAGGTTCTCACCTCAGCGAATCCTAACACATTGATTTTACCCTCTGCGTCACACATTATGATTTTGTTGCTATTAGCCTCATCTCTTGTAGCCTGAGGTACATCAATATATAAGATAGCCCCAGTCATGCTTCTTATGAATACCATTCAGGGTCTATTTCTAGCAGGGAAGTCCCATATTGGTGTTTTATAATTCATACCATTAGAAAGATTTATGCCTTTAGTTATGTTCTGAGTTCTATGTAAAGGGATTGTTCAAATTATTCAGCACAGAATAACCAATTATCTGGGAAAACTGTGGAGAATAAGTTTATGTCATCTATGTTAAGACAAATTCTGGAGAGATGAGGTGGTATGTCAGAGAAAGCATTAAGGTAAACACCTACAGATAGTGGAAAATACTCACGTATACACCCGTGGCCTGTCATTATTACCCTGGTTATCTGAATAAAGCATTTGTTTGGGGGTTTTTTTCTTTTCCTTTTTTTAAAAAAGTTTTATTGTGGTATAGTTAACTTGCTGTAAAATTTGCCCATTGCAAGTGTACAGTTTGCTAATTTCTAGTTTATATCATTATACAACTATCACCATAAAAACATTCTTTTTAAGAAGTTATTTCCCAAATTTAAGATTAGAATTTTTGTTCATTCCTATTCATCTTTCACTATCTCCAACTTAATCACAACTTTACCTTAGAATTTTCTCCTTTTATGCTGGTGAATATTGACCTTCCCTTCCTTTGAACTCTGTAGCACTTGTCTATCCCCAAGATACACTTTTTTGTTTTTCGGCCGGCCAGTCCTGGGATCCGTACCCTTGGCCATGGTGTTACAACACTGCACTCTAGCCAACTGAGCTAACCAGCCTACCCCTCAAGATACACAATAAAACTCTTTTTTTAAAAAAGGGAAAAGAAAGAAACAAATGCTTTATTCAGGTGACCAAGGGAATAATGACAGGCCACAGGTATATGCATACAAGTATTTTACACTGTCTGTAGGTGTTTACCTTAATAATTTCTCTGACATACCACCTCAGCCTTCCAGATACACTTTAGGTATTATCTAGAACTGTAAGATGTAGCAGGTAGGAGCTATTCTGTCCCCTAAACTCTTTGTCATACTACTTGAAATTCTTTACTACAGGGCCTAAAACCCCACCATTAGAAATATTTACTTATTGAATATGGACTGTATATTAGTCAATAGTATTGTGTTGATGTTAAATTTTCTGAAGTTGATAATTTAGTACTGTTATTATAAAAGAAAATATCTCGTTCTTAGGAGATATTCGCTGATGTATTTAGGGATAAGGATTATAATGCCTGCAACTTAATCTAAAGTGGTTCAGCAAAAATAACAAATAATAATTATAGACACACACACACACACACACACAATCATATGGGGTAGGTGTGGCGAAAGAGACCAAGCAAATGTGGCAAAATGTTAATAATTGGGGAATCTAGGTGATGAGTATATAGGAGTTTATTATACAAATGTGCAACTTTTTTGTAAGTTTGAATTATTTTTAAAACAAATAGATAAACAAAAGAAAACGTGTTTCTTTAGCTAAACGGTTCTCAGCTCAAGCCACACATGAGAATCATCTGAAAGCTTTTAGAAACTACAACTGCCTGGGCCTCACCTGCTAGAGATTTTTATTTAATTGGTCTTAGGTGGGGTCTAAAGATCTGAATTTTTTCAAAGCCCCCTCAATGAACCTAATGTGCTTCCATGGTTAAGAACCATTGCATGATAAGAATAATATATTTCACTATCACTTATTGTACCTTAAAAGTGAATTTTTCTTTTTTTTTTTTTTTGTCTTTTGTCTTTTTGTTCCGTGTCCGGCAACGGATCGCAACCCTCAGTGTTGCCCCCGTACCGGACCAGGGACCGGCAACGGGACCGCAAACCTCGGCGTTGCTCCCACGCCTCGCTCAGCCAGCGAGCGGGAGCCGGTCTGCACGTGGGATCCGAACCCTCCGGCGGCAGCGCTGCCGCGCCTCCCAAGCGGCGCACTATCCAGTGCGCCACTGGGCCGGCCCTTAAAAGTGAATTTTTCTTTTTCCTTTTTTCGTGACCGGTAACGGGATTGCAACCATCGGTGTCGGGCCCGCACCGCGCTCAGCCAGTGAGCGGACCGGTCTCTATATATGGGATCCGAACCCTCGACCGGTCTCTATATATGGGATCCGAACCCTCGACGGGAGCGCTGCCGCACTCCCAAGCACCGCACTTTACCGAGTGCGCCACTGGGCCAGCCCCTTAAAAGTGAATTTTTAGCCAGATTACTTTCTCTCTATTGGTATGCCGTTCTTTTTTCCTTTTATGCTTCTTTTATACCTTTTAAAACATCAAGCAAGGTTTCAGGCACAAAATAAGTCCTCACTACATTCTGATTGAAGTGAATTCATTAAAAAACAATGTAATTCCTTAAATGTAGTCTTAATCATGTCATAGTTATTTGTCCAAATCAGCAGTTATAAATTTATGCATATTATATATGCCAGTGCCTACATGAATATTATCTGTAGCATATGCATTATTTTTCCCATTATGACAGGACAGTGAGTTTTTGCCCTGCCCCCAAAACAAAACTCTGTTAATTGTAATTTTAAAGGATCGATGCTGAAGGTCCTAAATAGTTCCCCCAAAATTGTCAGCTATAGATAGGAAGCCCATTTAGATGGGAACTTACAAGGAAAGGAAATAGGGACAGTTCATCAAGAGTACTATTGAGATCAATGATTCTAAGAACCTTAGGCTTAGAAAGCAGGAGCAGCTGGAGGGTGAATATATTGGAGAGAACAAGATGAAAAATATTGCTATTTAAATTATAAGAAGGAATGATGAAAAATAACATAGTCAAAAGTAGATGGAAATACTTAAATGTATTTGAATATAGAAAAACAAGTGCCCCTGTACATAGATAAAGCAGGAAGAAGGAACTGAGAGAAGAAGGGAAAGAGTCAGAGATTTGCTGGACTAAAAACTATCTTGAGAAGAGGCTGGTCAGTTGGCTCAGTTAATTAGACCATGGTGTTGATAACACCAAGGTCCACAGTTAGGATCCTCTTACTGGCCAGCCACCAAAAGAAAAAAAAAAAGATCTTGAGAGAATTCAAGACAAGATTATAGCTCAAGGCCAGTTCTTCTTTTTTCTTTAAGTCTCTGGAGCAGTTTTTAAAAATTATGGTAACAAGTTCTAGAAAATAAGTGAGATGAAAGTTTATATCAAAAGATAATTAAATAGGAAGAAGTGTGCACATCTGAAAATTCGTCTACTAAATAAGAGGCATTATGCTGGAGGATAATTGACAGCATGATAGAATTTCTCAGCACATTTGAAAAGGGTTCCCAAGCATCACAAACTCAAGATGCAGTTTGCTCCAGTAACAATAGCATGATGATCACTCTCATGAGAGAGGCTCCTGTGTCATAGAAGACCCCAGAGAAGTAGAGTGACATGTTGAAAGGCTCCAGTGAAATCCATTTAGGACACTGAAAATGGAATTCAAATTATGAATTCACTTTTCACTATTCCAGAGTTCCTCATAAATTAGGAAGAGAATCCAATGAGACTGGTAAACTATTTCAATACCTCTTTAATAACACCCTGAATTTATATAATAGTATGACTGATTACTGTGGATGTAAGATGTGCAATGGTTCTTTATTCTCTCCACCATCATTAAGGCAGGGGCAGAAGTAGGAATAAAGTTTCTCCGTGAAAGTGCTGTTGAAGGTATAAATGTGGGTCATGGTTTTAGCATCGTAGAAGGACACTTGCCCTCCTTCATAATCCAGGTATATGCCCACTTTGTCGAGGTTGTTATTCATTTTCAGACTGCAAGAAGGTAAATCCAGAGCCTTTAGATCAGTTTGGTTCCTTTGTCTTAAAAGCCAGAATCCTTGCTCAGGAGTTAGAGGACAGCTGCCCTTCCGAATGATGGATTCTCTGACGACTCCAACTGTCCATTTTGTCTTCTTTGCTACTTCTACTTCCCAGTACCACTTTCCAGATGTAAAGGCTTTTGAGCCCAGCACAGCCACACTTGAGTCAAACCTCTCTGGATTATCAGGCATTACCTGCTTAATGTCACCATGCCACACACTGGTTCGGTTTTTGGAGAGCACCAGATTTGGGTGAGCTGTTTTAGGGTCCAGAGTTAATGGAGATAGGCCTAGTAAGAAAATAAGAGAAAGTAGGGCATGGGAGAAAAGGGGGTGAATGCAAATTCCCATAGTAAAAGACAGTATTTACACAGACACCAGTACTTTATCTCCCTATACATATACACTCTTAGGCAGCGATTACTTACATACTTTTTATTGTTTGAATACTCATGTTGTTATACACCTTTTTACATTTAGGGTAAAAATCAAGCTTTACCTTGAAGTAATTTATGCTCTACTGAAAGAAACAATGCAAATCATGTAGATCTGTACTAATAAATATAAGAAAATAAATAATAAGAAATAAGAAGGGGCCGGCCCGGTGGCGCACTCGGTAGAGTGCGGCGCTTTGGAGTGCGGCGGGGCTCCCGCCGAGGGTTCGGATCCCATATAGAGACCGGTCCGCTCACTGGTTGAGCGCGGTGCGGGTGCGACACCAAGGGTTGCGATCCCGTTACTGGTCACGAAAAAAGACAAAAAGGAAAAAAAAAAAAGAAAGAAATAAGAAGAAGAAGAAAGGGATAAAAAAAAAATTAGGTAACATTGTCCTAGGAAAGCTTTCTAAGAAAAATAAGTTTTCAGTTGTGATATAACATATGTGAGATATATTTAGGATGTTTTGGGTAACAGAGGGAAAAAAGGAATGAGTTAAAAACAGTTGCTTATGTGAGAGAGAAGATAAGGGGTTGCCAGTTAAAGAAAGGTAAGACTGAGCTAACCAGTACAGAATTTGGAAGACAATGGTGAGTAATTTATATTTCATTTAACAGATATATAGACACTTTTGAGATCTGGAGTGTTTTATGCCACTGCTACTCAGAATGTGGTCTATAAACTGTGTGGTTACCAGCCTAAGACAAGATAGTACAGAAATTGAAAGTAAACTTTAAGGAACTTCCATAGCAATCTGAAAGAGTAATTTTATGTCAGTTGAATCTAATAATTACAAAATTGGGCTTGTAGTTTATAATCTTCATTTTTTAATTTCACTTTTCCAACTAATTAATTTATATTGTATTCTACAAAAGTATCAGTCCATGACAGATTGAGATTTTAAAAACTGGCCCTTCATCGCAGATAGTTTGAGAAGCATTGATGTAGACAAAAGGGCAGCAATATCAAAATAATTCTTTTTTTTTTTTTTTTTTTTTTTTTTTTTTGGCAGCTGGCTTGTATGAGCTTGTATGGGCTTGTATGGGAATTAAACCCTGGACCGTGATGTTAGCAGCACCATGCTCTAACCAACTGAGCTGACTGGCCAGCCCTAAAAAAGAATTCTTAAATGAAGAGAGGTTAGAAGCAGACCAGTAAGAAGATGACATAAATTCTAGGTGTGAGATAATTGGACTTTGGCATGAAATTTGAAAAAGGAAACATCATGCACACAGATACATATATGCATACATTTGTTGTTATTGGATTTATTTATCTTGAGAAGCAAACTCAATCCAGTCCAACTCTCTCTCTCCAGAAAAGCCTGAGTCTTTTCCATCATCCCAAAGACTTCTCTTTCCAACAAGAGGCTTTGAAGAATGAAGAATCCTGAATTTTTCCATATAGACCGCATCCCCTCCCTCTCCCATATCCCCATGTATTTTGGGTTGTTAATCTTTCCAATGTGAGGACTGGGATTTCTCTGGAGGTACCATAAAGACTTCTTACCAACTTTTAAGAACCCCAATCTGCTCGTCTGCTCTCATCACTAAGCCTCTGACACCTCTAGCTAGCTCAGTCTGCATTGCTCTGAAGACTCCTCAGAGTCAGCTTAGTGCTCTCTGTTTCCTTCTCATGCCATATTCAATCCAACAGCAAGTTCTGTCAGCTTCACCTTCAGAATATATTTTGAGCCTAAACACTTTTTTTTTTTTTTTTTTTTTTTTTGGCAGATGGCTGGTATAAGGATCCAAACCCTTGACCTTCATGTTATCAGCACCATGCTTTGCCTAGTGAGCTGACTGACCATCCCTGAGCCTAAACACTTTGACTACTTCCACTAACACCACTGACCTGGAATTACTGCAATAGCTTTTTACTCTTCCGTTCCCACTCTTGCCCATCTCCAACCTATTTTGCCCATAACATGAATGAGATCATGCAGTTCTCCTACTCAACATACTCTAGGGCTTCCCATCACACCTAAGATAAAATCCAGAGTCCTTACAGAGCAGACAAGACCCACATGATTTACCCACACCTCTGACTTCATCTCCTACCACACATCCCCCCATGTACTTTGATCTAACCACCTTTGGCAGTTCCTTAAACATACCAAACTCATTTCTATTCAGGGTCTTTACACTTTCTTTCCTTGTCCCAGAACACTCTCTCCCCATATGGTTCACTGCACAATATTCTAGCCTTTGTTCATGCAAGTTCAATGAAATGTTAATGACAGAATCTACTATAGTTATCATAGGTAGGTATAAAGGTGTTCACTGTGAAATTCTTTAAAGTATTCTGTATATTTGTAATTTCCACAGTAAAATGTAGGGAGAAGGAAGTTACCATCTCAGAGACGTTTTCTCTGGCCATTCTGTCTAAAACAGCATGTTCATCTATCATCATTATTTGTACTCTTAGCCTACTTTATATTTTCTCATGAATAAGTTATTTATTGGGTGTGTCCTGCTTTATTTTCGTCACAATAGTTATCACTATGTGAAATTATTTCCTTGTTTGTTGTCTATCTCCTCCGCTAGAATATAATCTCTGGGAGGGCAGGGACTTCATCTGTTTTGCTTTCACATGTATCTTCAAAATTTGGAACTGTTCCTAGGTGTTCAAATAACTATTTGTTTAATGAATAAATTAACTTTAATCAGAGTTCTGTTTGGAATCTTGACACCAACTAATTCTACCATGCCTCATATGCCTGTTATCCTTGGCCAACGCCCAGAACGTAAACCCCTCCAGCGATTTATCCTCTCCAGGACTCTTATCCCCCTTATTCTGTTCCTTGCTTCCCCTTCCTTCACCCATCCTCTACTACTTCTCTCACCACTCCCACCCAACCCTTTGCACTCTGTGCTTTGGAACTCCCTCCCTAATTAATCCCACATCCTCAGTTTACAAAATTCTCTCATTACCTCCTTGCTTTAACATAAATCTGGCTGGTTCTTCCCCCAAAAACACAGCTTCCAAAAGTTCATGGGACTATTCATTCTCTAAATTCAGATAGCAGAATTAATTAATTAATTAACTAACTAATTAATTAAATTCAGATATCAGACATCCAGTAGCCACTTCCAGACCACTACTGCACTCCTTATCCTCACATAAAAATTTACTCTTCATCTGAGGCTCTTGTCATTCCATTTCACACAACCCTCTATATCTATTTGATGCTATCAGAGTACAAACTTCCAAGTTACACTCCAGCATTTGGGTCAACTTTACTCCTCTATCCAAAACCAAGCCCATCATCCCAAGTGATTTTGCTATCTTTTACATATAGCCACTCTTCCATCCTTAAAGGTCCTTGAATTTGCTGCTAGTGACTTTTGACCCCATTACACTTTAGCTGTCCATATCGATTACCATATTCTGGACCTTGTAATTATCAGAAACTAATTATTCTCTAAAATCTTAAATTCAGATATCCCATTCTCTTATTTTTTAAGCTTTCTCACTCTTATCTCTCCCTACAATAATTACTAACTTCAGAAACATCTCTAGTTTCTGACTTCTTCTTAGTATTCTAATCTGGCTGCTTCCTGGCTTAAAGTTCTTCCCTAAACAACTCAGCTCCAGCCGCTTTGTTGGCTATGACCTTGATACTTGTATCCTCTTTTTCTGCTGACACAGTACCTGCCATGTAACTCTCCAACCCTGGATCTATCTAGCCATTCAAAATTTACATCCCAATTTCTGACCAGTACAGAAGAAAAATTACAAAATTGTGCAGACAGATACCACTTGAGATTCATTATTTCCACTCTGAGTTTGACCATCAGCACTGCCCAGAAATCCTATATTTCCCAAATCAAATTCTCTCCTGTTCCTCCCAACTGCAATTTCAAACCTCTAACTCCCTCCTCAAACCTTTTCTTCCACCACTTACCCCCTGACTACCAGGCAGAAGACTTCATCTCCTGCATCACAGAGAAAATAGTCTTATTGGAATCCCTTAATCTTTCCCACTCATACTGCAAGCTCACTCTGGCAAAATTGTCTGCCTCCACCATCTTTATCTCCTCTCTATTTTCAGTGGAAAAAAGAGAGTCAATACTTTGCTCTGCTCTAGCTCTCCACTCACTCTTCCCCACTTTCACCAATTATGCCCTTCCTTGTACCATTGATTTCTGCCTTTCTACAGGATACTTCCCTTCAGCAGGTTTTCATTTTATCTTTTTTGGCAGCTGGCTAGTCTGGGGATCCCACCCTTGACCTTGGTGTTATAGCACAACACTCTAACCAACTGAGCTAACCAGCCAGTCCTTAGCATGTTTATACAAATCGCCTTTTGACTCTACCTGCACCTTCTAGCTTCCATACTAGAAGCTTCCATACCTTCCCTTTTCAGTCAAACTTCTCAAATGAGTGATCTATTCACTTCACTAGTGCCTCAAGTCCAAATCATTCCTGAACTCTTAACAATATAATTTCTACTCATCCCACTCTTTTGAAATTGCCCTTATCAAAGTCACCAATTGTTGCTTAAAACATCTATTTTTCAATTGTTTTCTTAATAATCTTCCAATGTAGTATGCATGAACACTCCCTTCCCTCTCCTTGACACACTCTTTCCTTAGATTCCATCTCAACTTTATTTCTTGGCTTTCCTCTTATTTCTCTTGCCAGAATTCCTCACTCTCTTTTGAGGGGTCTTATTGCCTTTTATCTGCTGGTATTCTCTATAAGGAACTCCCTCCTTGACTGTATGTTCTTACTGTCCTTTGAAAATCTCATTTACGTCAACAGCTTCAGCAACCTCACTCTATACTGATGATTCCAGCCCTGGCCTCTCTCCTAAGCTCTGGTTAGAATATATTTGAATATATTTACTTAG